GTGACGTAAGGGCAAAAGTACAACACTGAGGTCCACAAGACAGTGATGTCACTCTGGTTCAGAGGCTGGGTTCCTACGAGCCTGACTGTCCACCATGCCTTTGCACATGGGCAGGGAATCATGGATGGATGGGCGAGGACTCAGCAGAACTTAACTGGAGAAATGAGAGCATTCTATATAATGATGGGTGTGGACTACCCAGGTGTGTCCATTTGTCAAAATTATATGGGTATGTAAATTTTACCTTAAAGAGAATAACTAAAAATAACCAGAGTGGTAAGTAGGTAGAGATGGTGATGAAACAAGAAAGGCACAATTATTGCAGTTGGGTGGTGGGTGGTTTATTACACTGTTCTGTTCACTTTGTACACATGCGTTTGAAGTTTCTGTAATAAGATTTTTTAAATTTATTTTTTAAAATATTTTTTTAGTTGTAGATGGACACAATACCTTTTTTTTTTTAAGATAGAGAATTTTTTTTTTAATATTTATTTTTCAGTTTTCTTTTTATGTGGTGCTGAGGATCAAACCCAGCACCCCGTGCAAGGCAGGCGAGCACGTTACCGCTTGAGCCACATTCCCAGCCCACAGTATCTTTATTTATCCATTTTTATGTGGTGCTGAGGATCGAACCCAGTGCCTCACACATGCAAGACAGGCGCTCTACCACTGAGCTACAGCCCCAGCCCCTAAATTTTTTTTTTTTAAAGCAGTGTTCCATCCTGCCATATTAGAAAGTCAAAAGATAATATTTAGAATTCGTAAATCAAGAAATGACAAAATAAACACTATTTATAAATGTTCAAGTGAATAGGAGTGAAAAACAGTTTTGAAAACATCAGAATGTTTGTCTTTGGGGATCAGAAGGTAGAATGTTTGTCTTTGGGGATCAGAACGTGTGTGTGGGGAGTGCTGGAATAGGGAAGTCTGTTTTGTTCTATAAGGCTTTGGTATTGTTTTGTTTTGAAATCTTAAGGTGTATTTCTTTGATAAGATACTGTATTCATTTTGTGGATTACCACATTGTTTTCAAGGAAAATATCCATGTGATCTTACATGAATGATTAAGACATTGTTTATCCCTGATAATTTTGGCAGTATGCCCATTATTTCCATTGGCCAAAGGCAGTGTTTAAATTTGAATTTGTACTTCAGATGAGTGAGGCTAAGAAGTTTGACGGCATGTGGTTTCTCCCTGTCTGTGCTCCTGCCCCCCTGCAGTTTGGGTCTTTACACCATGGCCAAGAGTGATTATAAATAAGCTTCTATCGTAAGTGTCCTTTACTGCAATTAGAATAAAATTCAGATTCTTAATCAAGCCTACAAACCAGGCCCTAAGTAATTTAAATGGTTGGACTTGTGCTAGGTTCTCCTGCCCCTCTCCCCCTTATCACTGTCAGCCTTGATGGCTTTCTTTGTACACTGGTAGCTCATTCAAAGCCTTTATATCTGCTGTTCCTCGTGAGACTGGCTTCTTATCATTCAGGATCTGATTTAGCTCAAACTGAATTCCTGAGAGAGGCTTTCCTTAGCTGCCTAGCTAGAGTAGTTTCCTTCACCCATCCTCTGTCCAGAGCAGTGACCTCATAGTATAGTCTTCAAACTAGAAGCTTGAACATCACCTAGAGGGGGTCTTGTTTGTATTTGGGAGAATGCAGAGTCTAAGCCCCCATAGACCCACTGAAGCAAAATATGCATGTTAACAAGACCTCCCTGGGTGACTACACTTGATCTTCCAGAGGTCCTGATGGTGAGTACACCCACACACTAGTTTGCCTGGCTACAAACACTAGTAGGCTTCTTGGTTCCTCAGGGTCATTTGGTCTTTTGTTTACCTGACTATTACTTCTCCCACTAGATTGTAAGCTCCCCAAGGGCAGCACCTTGTCCAGTGCATCCACTCCTAGTTCCCCAGCACTTCAGTGTCCGCCTGGTACACATTCAGTGAGCATTTGATGGATGAAAGAATAAATAAATGAACATAATGGCAATTACTTTGTGTTTTTTAACATAACTATACAGTAAAAGTATTTACAGCTCTTGGTTGTAGAACTGGGGTTATTCCTGTCTCTCAACATGGTTATTCTGAAGGGGTTTCACTCAGCTTTTTTGAACATGAGTACTTTTAAACCATTAATCTTTATTTTTCAGGCAGTCTATCTTCAGAATTAAAGTTTAGGTTTTATTAGAGTGCCTCTCAACTGACAACATCAATAACTGTTTTCTTTTTGGTATTTAAAAAGCACGTTCATTCAGAGTTAAAATAACCTTCAAAAGTTTTTATCTAAAGTAAATATTAATTTGACATTTGTATCAGGTTTTATTAAACCAGAATTAATCCTTTTTAAACTAAGAACATAGCATTCTGAAAAAAAAAAAAACTGTTAAATGGAAAATTTGAAATTTAACTTTAAAAAATGATGGGGCATATAAATCAGTTTTACCTTTGAGATATGGTTCTAGGGAAGACCTATAGTTGCTGATACTGTCCTGCATTTAAAAGTGTGTTCCCAAGATGTCTTTTTTCATACATAACCTGGTAAACTTTGCCAGGAAACAGCTCTTCCATCTTCCATGGAAGACCTAAAATGGTTCAGCCATTAGCTCTCCATCCCCACCCCAGGTTTGACAATGGCTTCAGGCATCTTGGGTAGTCTCATTGGGGGTTGGGGAGTGCTCTAGCACCTAGCAGGTCAAGGATGCTGTTGAACACTCCTTCCAAAACAGCCCCTACCACAAGGAATCCCTAGCCCAAAGGTCAGTGGTGCTGCTGACCCTGGCTCAAATTGAGAGAGGCTCCCTCCTGAAAATGACGACGACATCAGAAAAGGAATAGATAGAAATGAGCCACTTAGGAGATTCAGATGGGTATATTGGCAGTTTTAGATATGTTTCTATGCAATCCTTTTTTTTTAATCAGATGCAATACTGAAAATTAGGACTGGCTCCCTCTTTGGGTAAATCACTCTGAACAAAAGATATTTAAGAATTTGGCAACTTAGTTGATTAAGAATTGGATAACATTCTCAAATAATTTTACATTTTTAAAAATAGGGAATCTCAAATATAGGGTTACTGGTTTTCCTTATTTTACAGATGGGGTCGAGGATTTGGTCTTTTGGGTTCCATTTTTGGAAAGGATGGTGTATTAAACCAGCCAAACAGTGTCTTTGGACTTATATTTTATATACTACAGTTATTACTTGGTAAGTATTTATACAGCAATACAAAAATAAGTTTGTTATGTTCACTCAGTACTTTGTGCCCTTGCCCTAAGTGTTTTTATAGTAAATAAAAGCATATGTTAATGATAGAACCACTAGCTCGCTCCATATTTTTGTGTTGTGAAATGTGATTCACCAGAATTTCTACAGTGCTTACGTTGAACTCAGTGTCACTTGGTGTTTGTTTAATCATGGAGAGCAGCATCTCATGGTGTCCCAAACCAGCTCCATTTAAGGCAGTTGTGATCCAACATTCTTCCCTGTTAACGTTTTTTCTTGTTTTATTATTGACCCAGTAGCTGTTTTAAATATCCTGTATCAAGAAAGCATTAACAGTAAGCTGCACCCACACCTCCATTGCCTTCATATACCTGCTGTTTGCACTGTCTTCTGCTGTGTGCGTGTATGGTGGGGGGCTGCGGCCAGCCGTGCATGTGCCAGGCCAGCGCTCTGCTGCAGAGTACCCCAGCCCTGTCTCCTGCTTCCTCAGGTGACTCTTCGTGCTCCTTGATTTCCAATGCAGTGCTGCCTGTCCCCTTCGTGTGTTTTGCTACTGGTGACATCTGGGTTTCATGCTTTTTATATCGTAAATACTGCTGCAATACTCAACTTTTTTTTTTTTTACAGCCCTCCCTTCCTCTTGGACTCTTTTCCATAATATAAATTTCTAGGCATGGGGTTAATGGGTCAAAAGCATAGAATAGTGTTTGTATTTTAATAGATATTACTGGTTTGCTTTTCCCCTAGTTGTCTGGTTTCCCTGAAGCTTCATCAGTTTTCATTTTTTAATATTTTTAAAAATTCCTAATAGTTAAATATTGTTAGCTATTATTTTAATTTTATTGTATTTAAATTTCCTTTTATTGCCCATTTAATTATGGAGATCCTGATAATAGTCCGTGTTCATATTTGTTGTGAACATTTTACTTCTTTATACTTTTTATGTTTTGTGAATTTTTATTGTATAAATTTTTATAGCTGTAGATTTAGATGCATCCTTTTTTGCCTGTGCATTTTAATTGTTAATGTTTCATTCCGTGGTCTGCCAGGACTTCTGTGATTTGATTCATTAAAAATACATTTAACTCTTCCATCTGAAGTAGATGTTAAGAGGCAAATTGCAAATTGTGAATTTTTCTGAATGATCCTTTCATCAAGTTTGCCCAGTTCTTTATCTGTATATTTATCCTGCAAAAGTACAAAGACATTGCACAAAGATATTCATAGCAGTACAATTTAAAATAGCAAAAATTGGAAGATGCCTAGGTGATAGGTAATGGTTGAATAAATTAGGGCACATTCCTATCAGAAAATTGTATGTATTCATTCAAGGAACAGTAGGTCTGTTTGTAAATCCTGGAAAGCTTAAGGTACTACTCAGTGAAAAAAGCAAATTGTGGCTTAATAAGTATAGGGTAAAATACATGTTTATATATGTGCATTTAAAAGCATAGGAAAGGATGTGGTGGAGGGGAGAAATTTCACTTTTTAATTCCATATATTTTGTTGAATTTCTGAAGAAGAATATAAAATATAAGCCCAAATGCAATGGAATGGTTTGTTTTCCCTTAAAAGGAAAGAGCCTAAGAAAAGTCTTTGTATCAATTTTTGGAAATAAAGGTGAAATAATAAAAATTCTATATGTAATGTTAATTGGTTAGTTTTTTTTTAATGCATGATTCAGGTCATATGTATCATGTGTATTACTTCCATTTATGCTTTCTAAGGTCTTTAGACTCTTATGTGTTTGTAATGTCAGTGTCTATCACTGGAGGCACATTTGAAGTTATCTTGCTACTCCAGAGCACACCATCTTCACCCCCACCAAGCCATGTGAGATGCCGCATTTGAGATTTAATTTCTTCATGGATACACATTCACATGCTTCAGAAGTTCCACTTGGCCCAGTTTCCATGGCCCTGCACCGTGACTGACAGCTCATTGTTGTTCTAGAGTTTCTTTATGCATGCACAGGAAAATATAAATATATGATCTTAATTTTCCTCCCATTCTAAATATAAAAGGCAGATGCTATACATACTGTTCTACAACTTGCCCTCCACCCCCACTTCTTTTGCTTCACTGATCTATCTTGATAATCTTTGTAAGAAATAACAGTACATTGTGTCTTTATTTTTTTATTATTTTTTTTACAGCTGGGAAATATTACATCGCTGCCCCATCATTTATTTAGAGTTATAGCACATTTTAAATTCTACTGGTAATTTCCCCCCAAGCCACAAGTACCTGGTTACATTATAACAACTTTGTAGCTACTAGCAGCATTGACATTGCATTCTTTTTGTGGTCATTTAATCAGCTTGATCCTAGCTCCCTTTGTTCTCACAAGTCTTGTTGGTAGGCTTCAGAAGAGAGAAACATGGAGAAAGTAAGAAAGTGTTCATGTTGTTTTAATGTTGTTTTATTTATCTGTTTTTCATGGTGCTGGGTATCAACCCCAGGGCCTTGTGCATGCAAGGCAAGCAGCTGACCACTGACACTACAGACCAGCCTGCCCATGTCATTTTTAAAACTGACCATTGTAGGTAAAATTAAGGAGACAAAATTGGGGTTTTTTTCTTTGAAATCTTAGAAGTTTAGCAGAGGTCAGATGAGCAAACTTTTTCAGTAAGGAGCCAGTTTAGGCTTTCCTGGCCTCTGCAGCTACCCATCTCTGTCTTTCTAGCGTGAAAGCACCTATACTCATATAAATGAGAATGGCTGGGTTCAATAAAGCTTTATTAACAAAAGCAGGTGGCTGGCCAGATTTGCCAGTTTCTGGCACAAGTAATTGAACAGCATCTTAGTTCTGACCAAGCTAAATCCCTATGGTGGAGCTTAGCCCACGGGCATCTTCTCGTCACCTCTCTTGCTACCAGTAGTCCCCAAGGTTTGAGTCCTGATGACTTCCTCCAGTCTGCCATCACCTCCTCTTCTTTTCTTGTTACTGTTTGTTAGCCATTGGGTAAGAGGGTGGTTTAATATGCCATGCCTTCTCTGTCCTTGAAAATAAGTGCATCCACTTTTATGTTGTTACAAAATAACAGGGGAAGGTGAGTCAAGAACTCAGGCACATGTCTGTCTTAAGAGCCCTGGTGTAACACACTGCTGCCTTTGACCACATGTGGCCACCTGGCCAAGTGTGGCTTCCCTTATCCACCAGTCAGCCCATTCTGAAATGTTTATCAAGACCTTTCCCCCTTCTTTCGCAGTATGTTGGCATAGACATCTCCCATGTGGATTTTTGATAAATTTTGATCTAAAGATGAAAAGCAAATTTTAATTTCCACAGATGGGGAGCCTGCAGTGAAAGTGCTGCGGGGGTTGGGGGCCACCAAATGTGTACAGCTTGGAAGAAAAAGTTGCTGTCCTGTCCCTATATGCATTAGGAGAGCCAGGGCTGTTGATCTTGCAGATCGGCTTCCTTGCTTCATGTGATGGTGAGATTGCATATCTTCTCTGTGTGCATATCCTCAGCTAAGACTAGCTTATGAAACAAGCAGTGTTTCATGTGAAATGCTGTGAAACTCGCACCCCATCTGATCAGTATTCATGTACTGCAGTGGACCTCAGGCAACCCCTGGCCTGGCAGTGGGCTCAGCCATGTCTCTCTCTTGCAGGCCTAACAGCGAGCGCAGTCGCGGCTCTGATCCTCATGACGTCCTCCATCGTGTCTGTGGTGGGGTCTGTGTACCTGGCCTACATCCTGTACTTTGTGCTGAAGGAGTTCTGCATCATCTGCGTTACCACATATGTGCTGAACTTCATCCTTCTCATCATCAACTACAAACGACTAGTTTACTTGAATGAGGCCTGGAAACGGCAGCTGCAGCCCAAGCAGGACTGACACCCTGGCCAGCTTTTACTGACAGTCTGATGTCCCGTTCCCGTTAAGTTTATTTTGCAGCAGGTTTTTGTTTTTGTTTTTGTTTTTTTTAAATTCTTCACAACAGACACTCTCCCTAAGAATCTTAAACTGATTTTTTAAAATACTGTAAATTAGAAGGGGCCCTAGCTATTTTCTGTGTCAATCTTCATTTTAAATATGGATACAAAAAAAAAGGACACACGGAGCCAATCAAAGACAAGCTTTAACTTTACTTTGAAGATGTTTCTGAGATAATAAAACATAGCGCTAGCCCCCTTTCCTCAACTGTAAAGTGAGCAACCATTGCTAGTAATTCTTTAATGTGTATGAATTCAATTTCAGGTATAACAAATGTGATCATGACATGAAAATATTTTAGAATAGATACTGTATTAAATATTGCCATGTTTACAATATGTAATATGTTTTTAGCCGATGGATTTAAACATGTAGATTCAACTAGAATCCATTTATGTGATATTTGTAAATAAAAGTAGAAATATTGGATCCATCCCTGCAGAACTTACTGTACAGTTTAGTTGAAGAATAGCAATGAAGAATTGTGAGCTCAATGTTGGCTGGTGAAATAGTGGAAATAGTAAGCCGTGCAGAGCATCTTGTGGAAGTACTGACAGCCGTGGGTGCAGCATTGGTGGCAAAAATAATAGGGTGGTTGGTTCCCTTTCATCTCCCTGCTCTGAGAGGAAGAAACTAAATTAGAATGTTCAGGTCACATTTGTGTCTAGTATAAAACTGGATCGGTGTAACCTTACAGAATGTGTCATGTGACCAGACCTTCATGTCAAGAACTTCAGAACACTAATGGGAGAAAAACTGGAAGTACCAATGTGGCGTTTTTAGGTAAAGCCCTAGAAGAGTTGCATTTTCAGTGCAGATGTTTCCCTTAATATTGGTGCCAGTCAGCCAAGCAGTATTGTGACTTTGGAGTCGCCAGTGTGAGCCCCACTGCCCTGGCATGATTGCTTCTGTAGCTGCATGTTCCCTGTTTCCTTCTGCACTGATGACTGCTGGTCACTGTTGTGAGTGAGAGCCTGGGTCTGTAAAGGGTAGGGCTGGCACTGGTCAGTTTGGTGAACTGGGAGAAGCATTACAGGTGGAAATATTTAAAGGGGGAATGCAGTCATGTCATCACTGCTCTTTCTTATAACGACACAATGCAGTAAGAATCTTTCAAGGTGATTTGAATAAGCCCAAATGAAATCGTGACAGTACGCCTCTGTGGCTAACATCCTATATCAGAATGTTAAAAGTGCCTTCTGTCTTACATCTCAAACCAAATATTTTGTGTGTGGAACCTGGGCAGAAGTGTCCTTCCTTCGTAACTGTGAAGTAGAAAACTTGCACTCTGCAGAAAGGTTCTGTGTGGTCATTTTACTCCTTAGATTGAGAAGCAGCAGCGATGTCTTTGCTTCCAATTTGATTAATCATTATGTTAAAAATAGTCAATTAGAAGAGTAACCTGAGTGCTTTATTTGCCTTCTTTTTGACTGCGGGGACAGGCTCTGCTCTAAACTAAGGTGTGTAGAGTCAGCAGTTGTTTATTAGTTTACCACTAACTGCCGTAACTGGCACAACATAGATGATCTGGCCCAAGGCAGGGGCAAAATCTGAACAGTTTAATGAACTCTTAGTGGGGTTTTAACCCATTTTCTTAAAAGGTATTCAGATTTCATGGAGGCTTATGATTTCCCACGAATGTGGACATTTCAATGCCTGTCTCGTGTGTATTGTAGTTGTGTTCGTAAGCAGTTACAGAACTTCAGACAGCACTGAGTGCCCGGCGCTTTCAGAGAAGCAGATTCTGTGTTTGAGAGCCGAACAGTGAGGTCACTGGAGCAGTCACTGGCTCTCTTTTAGTGGAAATGGTTAGTGGCTAAGACTTGTGGCACCAGGCAGCTGTGCCAACAAGTCCGTTGTGCCCAATTTTAAGCCATCTCTGATCACATTCTGTGTCCGTCAGCAAAGTAGAGTTAAAGCTTATCTTGATGCTGCATTCTGGGAAAGGTCTGCAACACTTCGTGAGAAAGCTGCAGATGTGCAGCCTGGCCCTTCATGTTTCCCTTGCTTTCCTGCACTTCGGGGAAGCACTGTTTCAGCTATATAAAAACTGTTGCCACATTCCTGTGCCCCAGTAGAATTAGGCCCTTTTTCTCACTGAGATGAAAAGGTGCTGCCTAAAGTAACAGCATTGCTGAAGTGTCAGTGTCTCCAATAAGCAGCAGAAACCCTGTTGCACTGTCAGTGTCTCAGCAAGCAGCAGAAAACCCTGTTGCGTGTTACTTGGCTTTTTTTTTTTTTTTTTTTCTCTAGAGGAATTCAGGCTCCCTACACACCTTCTACTCCACCAAGAAGAGGGATACCATATTATAAAATTTGAAGATTGTTAGGATCTGCAGTGTTTAGATTGAATATTTAAACAATGCAGCATCATAAACCATCAATGCTGAAGGACAGACTGGGAAAAAAATTGGTTTTAGCAGTAATTCCATGCTTTGTGTTTCAAGTGGTTCGTAACAAACAAAGCCTCTTTTTTACTTAATAGTCACAAATACTTGAGGAAATTAGTATGGTTAAAGGATGAATTCTAGGGTGTTTTGGAGGATTTCATCTGGGTTTTCACAGCAGCTGGTTGCTGTCAGTCGGGGTGAACTTCTGGAAAACTCAGGTTTAACTAGTTGTGTGCCAGAAATTATTTTTTCTTGATAAATATAGCACAGCCTCTCCTCCAGGTCATGACTTCAGAAGAATGTCGAAAGTATTGACTATTTTCATACCAAGAAACAAAGATTCTTCATTTGGTACAAAGGATCTTTAGACCTCTTAGGTAGAATTTAGGACCAAGACCACAGTAAAATTAAAAGTATTTGCTGGCTTTTGTTTGCTTGCTTTATTTTCAAGAGACTGTATATTTTGGAAGTGCAAAGAAATCTTTAGCAGTTACTTCAAGACTTTGGCAGGCACCAGTGCTTGATGCCAATGAATGACAGGCAGTCTTGTCTTAGGTCAGCATTAGACAGATGCCAGGGAAGAAGCCCAGTTCTTCCTGGAATTTACTTGGGGTGATACGCCTACTCAGCAGCCTTGGTCCTCTGGGTTTCATCCAACACACAGGCCTTGGCAAAACATCTCCATTTAGACATTTTAGGCAGCACTTATGAATCCTAATTTGTGAGAACAGCCCTTCGTAAAACTAAAGGGGCAGGGGTGGAAGTCCAGGCTACTCGATTAAACATCTTTTTTCTTTTCTTTCCTTTTTTTTTTTTTTTTGACAAATTAGCCCAAAAAAGGTGAAATGTTTTGTTATAAATCTGTATTAAGCATGGCCAAAGGATTAGGTGTCTGATCTGTATAGTATGTTCCATCAAAAATATTTATTACTAGTGCTTTTTACGTTCCTGAGTAAACATTCATTTTAAATGGAGTTCACTGGGCAGAATTTCCCCTTTAATATAGACAGAAACATTCTTTATCAAAGATTGAGGACACCATTTTGCTAACTGGTAAATAAAAACAAATGTAAATATGTAAGAATGTTTATTTGTTGCACATAACTTTTTGGTATAAAATAAATGTAGAAGTTATCTGTGGAAACCGGCTGCCCTCGTTCTTACACTACCGGATTAAATTTTTTTAAGAGAAGCTAAATGAAGTCTTTTTTTTTTTTTTTTAAGTTGTAGGTGGACACAATACCTTTATTTTATTTATTTATTTTTATGTGGTGCTGAGGATCAAACCCAGTGCCTCACATGTGCAAGGCAAGCGCTCTGCTGAGCCACAACCCCAGTCCCTGAATGAAATCTTTTTTTAGACTCAGTAGGAACCTTTAAAGTGTGCTTGAAGTGATGCTGCATGTGACCTCATCTCTACAGGTACACTGATCTGATATCAATTTCCCATGGACTCTAGGTCTTAGGATTCCTGTGGGTTTGTGCTGTATGTGGCTCTCAAGAATTAATGACCAAAGGTGCTGGCTGCTTAGAGTTCTACTGATGTAGGATGCTTAAGCAGATGTTGTACATGGTTTTCCTGGAGCTCACCCAGATGCTCCATCTGACAGTCCTCTGAAGAGGAAACACCTACAAGATAACAAATCCATTTGAAAGAACAGACCTATCATGTGCTAGACCATGAGGGCCCAAGAATTGGACCCTGTCCCTAATTTGTAAAACATTTATGTGCCTGTTATGTTTAATTTCCTTTAATGTTTGCCAACTAAAGGAACTTTATATATTCTTTGGCATTAAACTGGAACACAAAACTTGATTCCTTTGAAGATCTTACGTTCAGTGGTGACGTGAATTTCTGACTTGGTACTTAAGCTGTTTTTAAAAAGTGGTCTGCAGATACCTGGTACAGTCAGGCTGAATTCGTTTTGCTGTCTCTTCCATGGAGCTTGGAAAACAGGCTGAAAAGGCAACTGCGAGAGAAGCGAGTCCAGCTCTGCATCCAGAACTGTGTGGCTTCACTGTCTGCCATTTGACTGACACCAAAAGGAATCATTTTCCAAACCAGGACTGATGCAAACTCAAATCTCAGGTATAACGCACTTTATTTGCCTCACTGGACCCTTGTAAGGGGAGGATGGGAAATTCCCTGAGGAAGGCCTCTGTTCTGCAGAAGGCAGGTGGAGGAGTCCGCCTGGAGTGCCATTTACAGACACAGCTGGCCCAGAGGTGTCACTGCAGACAGTGGCACTGGCTGTGAGGGAGCCTGTCTGTTGGACTGGGCTGGCCAAGGCTGGAACAAGCACTAGCAACACGTGTCCACACGTAAGCCTCTCTGATGCTCATTTGCCAGGCGACTGGAAGTGGCATGTGGGTGTGTCGATGCCAGCGCAGTGCCTCTGTACGCCCGCCAGTGCCCGTGGGCCTCCTCTCGTGGGGGTCTACTCCCCTGGGCTGTTGGGCCCACGAGCACAGGCAGCCCTGTGATGGGGACTCCGTCTGTGACGTGGGTGTTGAAGCCATGGTTCTCTACCTGTCCTGCGCAGCGAAGGCCAAGGAAGAACTGACACGCAGGACACCACCTATCTTTGCAGGACAGACCCTTGTGTGAGGGGCCACTGATGCAGACTCTTCCCACTCTAGAAAAGCTTTATTTTGTCTCTGACATCATCCCCTTCTAGCAGGTCGCCAGAGTCCAAACCAGAAACTGGTGCCATCAACACGGCAAGAGGCACTTGTTCTGTGGGTGTGGAAGTCGCCCTTCCTCAGGTGCACAGTGGTGGGTGTCCTGGAGGTAGCTCTCTGGCTTTACAAAGTGAATGGGCTGTTTCCCAAGCACTGTGACTTCGCCACCGAAGGGTGGTACCTGGTTTCATTGGCAAGTTTCCAGTATCTCTCCCGCAAAAGGAAGGCTGCACTCTTGGGCTGTCGCTGTCGGGTGAAGATGCCCTTTCTATTCCCCACTGGTCTCTGCGGTGCTAAAAAACAAGGCAGAAAGCACTTGAGGTGACTGATGGGACAACCTGAGAACCAAACTGCAATCAAGCCAGCCACAAAAATTGAGTGTCCGGAGTGGCGGTTGCTTGTTCTGAAGAGTATGGAGCAACACCTTCTAGGCCAGAGCATTTAAACACCACTGCCCTCCCATATCACAGGTCTGTTGGGGGGATTTAAACATGGGTGCCCGGCAAGGCCTGGGCCTCCTGCAGAGGCAGCTCTCCCAGGGGACTGGGATGTAGAGCAACAGGACCTGCAATGTGGCTCCACCAGTGGACGACGAGTGCTCCAGGTGTGCACCTGGTGACCAGCTACTGGGAAGGCTGAGGGAAGAGGGCTCTGAGCTCAGGAGCCAAAGACCAGGCTAGGTAGCATAGTGAGATCCCGTCTCAAAAAAGACCATTTCCGGGGCTGGGGTTGTGGCTCAGTGGTGGAGAGCTTGCCTAGCATGCCTGAGGCACTGGGTTCAATCCCTGGTACCACATAAAAATAAATAAAGATTTTTGTGTCCACGTACAATTAAAAAATTAATTCTCCCATGATAAGCAAATACCTGGCACCGCTGACATGTCAAATGGAATCTATAAGGTGAGGGTCAAACTACCTCGCCTTGTAGGCCCATGGAAAGGTGACACAACTTGCCCAAGGTCACAGCATCCCACCACAGAAGGGCCATCCCTGTATCCAGGGCTATGGATCTTAAGCAGCTCGGTCCTTTTTCTGATTCCTCACCTCATCCTGTGTGCTTGTCTGTCCCCCTTCCTTTCAGATTTCTAGTCACACTTGGACCTACCAGAGGCCTGACTTTCCCCATTGTCGTGTCCTCTTGCTCACCCAGCCATGTGAAGGTCGAGTAAGTGAGGAAACTAGAAATCTGGAGGCATGGAAGAAAGGAAGTGCTGGCCTGGAACCTCACTGAAGCTGCTCATCCAGCCTGACTCAAGAAGGTGCAGATGGACACCCATATTCAGTACATTGGGACTTACCTGTGTTTGGCGAACCTCCTTTTTGCAAGTTGATAACATAAAACAGACTGAATTGTGTTTCTTGGACTTTGTACCCTTCTCTGAAATAATAGGTGTATCCAAAATTAGATCCAGTCCCCTGGACCCAGGCAGGGGAAGCTGGCCCTTTTTGCCTCAAGATAGGAGACTCTCTCTTAAGATGACTTGGGAGCAGGTGCTGATTGCGTTGCTGTTGCTAAGCACGGCCTTATTTTCCTAGCAAGTTCTCCGTGTAGCCCACGTGAACTAAGCCCACTCCTTTGTTCCAGCCTTTTTACAACCAGATGCCCAGAACTGAAAAGCTAACCTGAAGAAATGAGAAGTGGTACATTGCACAAGTCACAGGGCCACTTACACTGGTTAGTCATGAAATCGGCAAAGTTCCAGATGAGCTCTCCAACCACATATTCTTTGCGTTTTTGGTCCAGAACCAAATGATACTGCTCTAACAGACTTTTCTGGTACTCCTCAGTGAACATAAGAGGCGGATCCTGGGATTCAAGGCAGAGAGAGGAGTCAGAACTGGCAGAACCAAAAATGTTAGATAAAAATAAAGATCCACTTGACAGTGACCAAAATAACTGTCCCTGCAGTGGGCCATGGTGACTGCAGGACTCAGCTATGGTGTGCTGTAACCCAGAGTCGAACCCATAAGTAGTAGTTACTGTATTTATAAGCATAACTTGAGCTTTGCCTTGTCGTTTTTCCGAATCTGAAAGCCAAATGGCCCTGCAGTGAAGTCTTGGGTTTAAGCAGCCTCGTCTGAGAATTAGCGTGCCCCCAGTTCTACACACTGCAGCTCCACCTGGAGCTGTCCTGGGCAGCAGCTGCTGGAGCAGTCGTTCATTCAGCGGTTAACCTAGTGTCCACCTGTGTGACTGGCACTGGTGACAGAGCAATAAACAGGAAAGGCAAGCACGCTGCAAGGGGAACAAGCTCCAAGTCGGCACAGGGAAGGGGTATGCAGAGCAGGGCTGGGCAGTATGCAGCACGCCTGGCAGACAGGGCCAGGGGCCCTTTCCAGGCTCTCACTGAATGCTCTAGTAGGTGTTCCTATGTGTCAAGGTGCAGGACCTCGTGATGGAAAGATGTTCTTGGGGCAGGCAGTCCAAGTGTCCACCTCAAGAGCCTCCTGGGAGATGGGGTCTCTCAGGTGCTCCAGGGTGCAGCAGTCATTCAGAAGAGAAGGCCCTGCTGGGTTTGACTCTGCTCCAGCGAGAGGAGCTGAAAGAGGAGCCAAGCTATGTCCATTTCAAAGCCGAGACTTCACAAGGTCTAAACAGGTTTCAGCAACTCAGGCCCTAAGCAACTTGTGAGACCTTGTCTCAAAATTTAAAAATAAATAAATGGCTGGGCTGTGGCTCAGTGGTTAAGTGCCTCTGGGTCAATCCCTAGTATGAAAGTGGGGGAGAAAAAAATGCTGAGTCTGAGGGGAGGGCAGGGCAGGGCAAGGTGCCGGGTGCCTGCTCATGGAGGTGGAGCTGCACTGTCTAAAGCAGTGGCACAGTCACACAGCTCCCTAACCCCAAGTGAAGGCAGCCTTGCCGGTCACAGCTCATGTGTACCTGGAAGCTACTGCTGGGGCAGCACAGATGGAGACATCTCTGTTGTCACAAAGGGTCTGTCACCCCTCAACCTATTCAGACAGGAGCTGCACACCGTGCACTCTACCCTGCTCTGCTAGTCAGTGGGAGTGGCCTTCTCTGCGAGCAGGATAGCAGAGTCAACTGAGTGAACCAGAGCTCAACAGTGACAGCAGAGGACGACTGGGTGCGGATCATGGACTGGCTGTGACTCAAGAGTCCACACAGGGCCAGGCAGGTGGCCATGCCTGTAATCCCAGCTACTTGGGAGGCTGAGGCAGGCGGATCACAAGGCTCAGGCCAGCTGGGGCAGATGAACAAGGCTATAAGCAACTCAGAACCTGTTGGGTAAGTGCTGCTGGGTTCAAACCCCAGCTGGAAAAGGAAGAGGGTTTTTTTTAAAGAATCACATAAGAAAACCGCCCCACAAGGCAGAGTGGCTAATTTTTGAGGAAGTGAGTCTTCTCCCAAGACCTCGCCCACTCCTATGGGCACTGAGCACTAGTGTGCTGCCTACAGCTGGGACGGATATCATACAGCTAACCCTGCCTGGGCGGGCAAGGCGGAGCCCCTGACAGGGGCCAGCCAAGCTGACCCTGGAACTCGGATGACTGGCACTGCTGTGGGCAGCCTAGGCAGGAACAGGGGAGCCTGGGGTACAGCAAAGGGCAATCAGTGTTCCATCCCATCCCACAGGCCAGCAAGAGCCAGCGCCAGGACACCCAAGGTGGGTCAGCCAGCAAGATGACAGGCATTTGGAGGGTGGCTGTCCAGAAAGAAGGCTGCCTCTTGGGCCAAGCAAGGTAGAGGCCTGACCACTGGCAGCACCTGCCCTGCTGGGCAGGTGCTGGAGAGTTGGGAGGACCCCCCAGTCCAAACAAAGGGAGGGGAGGCTGGGAGAGGTGAGTGAAGAACTCTGCCCACCCCGTGGAGGTAAGTGAAGGACTGCAAGGGCTCTGCCCACCTCGTGGAGGTGAGTGAAGGACTGCACGGCTCTGCTCACCTCGTGGAACCCCGCGATGGTCTCTGCACCATACTCGCTCTGAATGATGGGCTTGTGGTAGGTCCTGTACCAGCCCTCAAACTGGGTGCGCAGCTGCAGCTGTATCACCTCCAAGTGCCCATAATCGTGATACCAGGAGTAGTAGCTGTTCACACAGATTACGTCCACATAGGGCGCCTGGGACAGAGTGACAAAGCCTGTTTACTAGCCAGGTTGTGTCAGAGAAGTCATCCAGGGGCTGCAGGAGATGCCCCACAGGTAGGAAAGGCGGCCACGAGTGACCAGGTGGGGCCAGGAGCATGTTGGGCAGGTGCTCTGAGCTGGCCTCAGAGGCCCAACCCTCAGCGGGGTCCAGGGCCCTAACCCAGCTGGATTCTGCTGCTGAGGTGGTGCTCCCACATCTTGCCCTGGAGGCCCACTGGATGCAGCTCTTCTCCAAGGACCTAGGGCTGTGCATGCGCTGAGGGCACACTGCGGAGCTCCCTCCCAGCTCACCATGGCGTCCCAAGGTGGCTCCTGGGCTCCCTGGGGAACTGGTGATAGGAGGAGGGGGCCACTGCACAGCGAAGGCTTCTGCACTCAGCTAGTGCACCTAACCTCACGGGGACACACCTGTCTAGTAGAAGAGGCAGTCCTTCCCGTGGGCCACAGCCCCTTCCTTCCTAGACTGCGGCAGGCGGAAGCTGGGGAGGCTGGTGCAGGCACCACCTTCTTCTGACCCAGACTCCACCAGAGGAGTCTGGCGCTCTCCCTGGAGGCTAAGCACAGGGCGCCCTGCAAAGCCTTCCCCACCACATGGCAGACCATAAAGGAAGCGCTGCTGCCCAGGCTGAAGGACGCAGCCTGTGCTGCTGTGGAGGTGGTGTTCTGGAGAGGCAGCAAGGGCCTGGGGGCTCGGGGGTTCTCCATCCCCGCCCAGGGGGCCCTTCCTACTGCTCTTACTGTCGCACCTGCTTCCACGCTCCCCCTGGTTCCTGGTGAAGAGCCTCCCCTTGTGCCATGTTTACAGCTCCCACACAAACTCAAGCCCGGAACAGTGGGCCCAGCAGCTCTGAGTGCCCATCACACAGGTCCCATCTGAAGGGAGCCACTTGGTCACTGCAGGCCCTGCGCAGCTTCTTAAGAACTCAGGTTCCCACCCTGAGATACCTGGGAACCTCAGGATCACATCTGGACTTCTGAAAAGCTTCCCACAGTGACGGGTGCACAGTCAGGAGGACTCAGCACCCTAGACCTTTGACTCGACTTCTAGAGCTTGTTAACTGGGGTGCAGAGGATGTGGAGTCCAGACTGAACACAGCACATGGCCCTTTGCCCAGCCTCTTTGGATTTAGAAGCCACGCTGGTTGGCCAGGAAGCACTCTTTGACTATCTGTGGAAATGGCGGGATGCTAACAGAGCCTCGCAGCAACAGGTGTTGGCAAACACCAAGACAGAGGACAGGGGCGAGGAAGGTGTGCAGCTCACCCCCAGGTCCCCTTCGAAGTTGGAGTTGGTCACGAAGGTCACAGGCCGGGTAGGATCCAAGGCTTTGGTGTGAGCAATCACTGTTCTGAGCAAGGAGGACAGAGGACAGGCTGTGAGCCTGGGAAGGGCCCTCAGTCACCTCTCCCTCCGCCCCACCTGCCCAGGTACCCCGAGGCCACCACTCCCCTTCCCCAGAAGTGAGCAGGTGTCAGCAGGCCCAGCACTGCCCCTGGGCTGGGTAGCATTGTGAACCTGAGAAGCTCTTGGTTGTAGGAAGGGAGTGTCAGGATGGGATATTTGTCCATACAACAGTCAGGGCGCTGCCCTGTGCCTGTGCTCAGCAAGGCTCACAGGCTAAGTACAGAGGTCCTAGGAGCAGAGTCAGGCACAGGCAAAGGGACAAGCTAAAAGGGCAAGTGACAGCAAGGGTCACGAAAGGGCGGCACATGGGGGACCTCGTCTGGTCTAGAGAATCAGGGGCAGCCTCCCTGGAGAAATGGCACAGTGTGGCGTCAGGCTGACCAGGCAGAATGGAGAAGAGGCTCCTGGTAGAGGGACCCGAGCAGGCTGCCCTGTCCCTGGCCATGCCTGCTTTCCTCCTTCCTTACATCCTCTTCCGTTACACCCCCCTTCCCCTCTGAAAGCTGTGGTTTCCACAGGGACACCTTAGACCCACACGTGGGAACAGCCTGCAAGCCCGGCTGGGCCTCCATCCCTGTGTCCAGGAGCCAGCCTCCCCTCCTCCCTGCCAGCCGGGCCGGGTTGGGCTCAAAGCACTCCTGGGCTGGGTGCATTCGCCTTGGGGAGTTTCTGTGGCCTGGCACCTCTACAGCAAGGGGTAGCCTGCCACAAGTGACAGCCCTGGGACTAAGAAAGGAGGAATGCTCCCAGGCAGCAGCCACAGCAAGTCCTCTACTTCAGGGAAACTGCTCCAAAGGTGCCACAGTCCTCTGCAGTGACTTGGGGATCGGGCGGGAGCTATGGGCATCTGGTGAAAGGGAGCATGAATTTAGATGACCTGAACCTGTAACTTTAGCCTGTTACATACGCACACCATTGAAAAACCTGTTTCATTGTGCCTACAGTTGGGCACAGTGGCGCACACCTGTAATCCCAGCTATGCAGGAGGCTGAGGCCAAAGGATTGAAAGTGCAAAGCCAGCCTCAGCAAATTGTTGAGGCCTTAAGCAACTTAGTGAGACTCTGTCTTAAAATAAAATGTAAAATCAGACTGGGGATGTGGCTCAGTGGTTGAACACCCCAAGATTCAATCCCCAGTACCCAAAACAAAATAATCAAAACATTGTGTGCCAAGATTAATTGGCTCTATTACGTCCAACTCCACTTTACAGTTGAAACCAGAGCAGCAAAGAGTGTTTTTATGCCTGGGGTTGGTTGGTTTGGGGAGTTTTTGGTGTGGGCTTTTTGCTTGTTTGTTTTTTAGTTTGGGCAATTGAACCTAGGGGTGCTCTACCTTCGAGGTACACCCCCAGCCTTTTTTTTTTTTTTTTCCTAATTTTTTATTTTGAGGCAGGGCCTCCCTAAGTAGCCAAAACTGGCCTCTAACTCACCATCTTCCTGACTCAGTCTCCCAAGCTGCTGGGATTGCAGGAGCTGTACCACTCAGCTTTCAAGTACTATTTTATAGGTGACTCATTTTGTCACCAGCCATGTCTTTAATTTAAAATTACAGATACCAACAACACTTCAGGGGTGAATGGGAGATACAGGGTCTCACCAGGTTGAAAACTTCGACTGGTGTGTGGAGCCCAGAGTTGACCCAGCCCAGCCAGGCTCTGCTGAGGCGGAGGCAGCACTTACTTCAAGTAGTAGCCCGCGGGCTTCAGGGAGGAGGTGGGCTCGTTGGCCACAGACCACATCACGACGGCCGGGTGGTTCTTGTCCCTGCGCACCAGCTCCTCCATCACCTGCAGGTGGTGCTGCAAGGACGCGTTGCCGTAGCTCTGGCTGCAGAGCAGAAGAGGGCGTTGGCAAGGCCGGCCGCGGGGACAGGCTGCGGGGCGGGCATGCAGGGCTGGAGGGCCACACTCACGGCAGCACGATGCCCACGCCCGGACACTCATCGATGACCACGATCCCGTAGCGGTCACAGAGCTGCATCACCTCCTCGGCGTAAGGGTAGTGGCTGGTGCGGAAGGCGTTGGCGCCCAGCCAGCGCAGCAAGTTGAAGTCCTTCATCAGCAGGGCCCAGTCGAAGCCCTTCCCCCGGACCTGGGCGCCCCCACAGAGCAGAATGACACCCGCAGCCAGGGCTGGCCCGCCACAGCCAGAACTGCGACCGGACCCCAGCCGGGCGCAGGTGAGCTGCCCTCCAGGACCTCAGGCCACTTGGGCGGGTGGGAGGAGGGGATGGTGACAGAAACAGCCCCCCAGGGCACAGGGCCGCAACTCACGTCTGAATCCTCGTGTTTGTTGACCCCGTGGAAATAGAAGGGTTTCCCATTAATGAGGAACTGGCTCTCTGTGACTGCCACGGTGCGAATCCCGACGGGGAGGGTGTAGAAATCGGCCACTGGCCCGGCCTCGGTCTGCGCAGTCATGCGCACCTGTGGGGGCCAAGCAACCACAGCGCAGGGTGAGCGCACAGGCCGAGCCCACCGGCCCCGACAGGAAGGCCCCCTTTTTCGTGGTACTGGGGGCTGAGGGCAGGCACTCTGCCACTGAGCTACATCCCCAGTCCCTTTTACTATTTGAGATGGGATCTCGCCAAATTTCTGAGGTTGGCCTCAAACTCCTGCCTCAGCCTCCTGAATAGCTGGGACTGCAGGCCTGAGCCACTGCACCCAATTGGGAAGGTCCCTGGTACACCACAAGCCCCACCTTTGGGCCTGCAAGCAGAAACATCCCCTAAAAGTAAGAGGTTCTGCTTTTTGCAAAGAAGAATCACCCCAGCCCTTCCCCTTGGGCCTGCTCTTCAAAGCTGGGCCTCCCCACCAAGGGATGAAAAAAGAAAGCCCAAGGGACCAAGCCAGCCCGCCCACCTGTCCTAGGCCTGCTGAAGCCAGGGCTACCAGATGGGGGCAAAAGGCCTCCTTCAGCACCAATCCTAAACCACCCTTACCTCCAGTGAGTACAGGTAGGCAGGGTGCTCATGCATCAGGTATGGCCACCAGAGATGGGCTGCAGGCACCTGCAGCTGGCCCTGGCCCCCTGCGCCATCAGCTACCACTCTGCCGTCTACATCCAGAAGACGCACGTCCAGCTGCACATGTTCACTGCCCTGGGTGAAGATCTGGTAATTCACCAGCCCTGCAGGGAACAAGAGATCAGGCCAGGGAGGGTAGGCTAATCACACACCCTGCAGCCACCACCTGGCCGGCAGAGGGGGGGGGCCAGAGATTCTCAATAGAGCTCAGTGTGCGCGAGAGGAGAGGGGGGCACAGGACCCTCATCCTGAGCTACGCCATTTTAGGCAGGACCCCACCTCTCCCTGAGCCTCCTGTCCTCAAAGTGAGGTCAACCAGGTGATTTTTCAAGGCCTTGATGGTTCCCATTTCAGCTTCTGAGTAGATTGGAGCTTGTGGGGGTCGAGAGCCCTTTTCCTAGGATCTTTCCAAACAGTGAATAAAGCCTCTCTAGGCCCAGCTGAGGGCAGAGGCTGCCACGAGCCCTCACCAGTGTCTTGGTCCACTCCAGTGGTGACCGTGATGTCGTCGATGTAGGTGGTAGGCGTCGTGTAGAGAGTCACAGACCGATGCAGTCCCGCATAGTTGAAGAAGTCAAAGTTTATGTCCTGGACAAAGTAGCCCTTAGGATACCTAGGTGGGGGACAGTGATCATGTGTCCTTGCTCTGGATCCTCTGACCTCAACTCACATCTCCCTGGCCTCCCCAGATCTAAGGCCTTAATTCTGCAAAAGCCACCCTGTTCCCAGCAGGAAGACCTCTGGGCAGGTGGGAGGGGGACCAGGGGACAGGCTGCTGCTCACTTGGAGGTATCGGTCTTGTAGAGGATGGTCCCTGGCGGCAGGGTGTGGGGGGTGAGTGTGTTGTTGATGGCGATGGTAATGCGGCAAGAGGACAGGGGCCCACTCTGCACCAGCTTGCTGATGTCAGCCTCGAAGGGGAGGTGGCCCCCCTCATGCTCTGCCACATGGACCCCGTTCACCCACTGCAGACACAAGGAGGGCCATCAGGCCAGAGCTTAAAGAGGGGTCCCTGCAGTCTCAGGTTCTCCCTCACATGTAGGGGCCAAGGGGCCTGCCAGTAGCCCCCTGCCACACCAGCCTGGTGGGAGGAGGGGAGAGCCAAAGGAGATTAGGCAATGTGTCCCACCTGCAGCTCAGACCCCATACTGGGGCATGAATGTCCCCCTACTGTTCCACCCAGACGGTGGGCTATCAGGTGACAGTTGGGAGCCAGGCAACCCCAGGCATGCTCAGCAGCATGACTGCCCACCCCCTGCCTGCTGCCCCCTGCACTGACCACAATGGCATAGTAGTGGGCGCTGGCAATCCTCAGCACCACTCTTGTGCCCAGGTCTTGGGTCCACCGCTGAGGCAGGACTGCCTCCCGTTCGTACCACACCCAGCCAACAAAGCTCCGAAGCTGTGCATCTTGGCCCACGTCGTTGAAGCTGGAGGGGACTGGCATGTCCAGGGTGGGCCCCGACTGGGAGAGAAGAGTCAGGTCAGATCCAGTCCCCTAGGCCCTAGGCCCACCGTCCTGCACTGCCACACTCCCCAACACCTGGCACAGCTCTGACACACAAAAGGGACTATGAACAGATGGATCACTTGCTGGCCTCAGCAATGCCAGTATGGTTTGTGGGGAGACCGTGGTGGTCAGAAGAGCTTCCTCAGGGCAGAGAGCACCAGGGCCAAGATCTCCATGGATCAGGGTGAGCCAGGGGTCAGCTCGGCCAGGGGCAGGAAGGGCCACCCCCTGACTCAGAGGCAGATGACCGGCTGACAAGAGAGGAAGGCTGGCAGGGCCGGGCCCCTGGGCTGAGGAAGCCCGGGTCGGTAATGCTGGCGGCAGGCCGGCTCCTCACTTCCTCCTCTGCTGAGCAAAGTGGGAAAGGGAGAGGAAGGCGCGGGCGCACCCGCACGCGGCCGGGGAGCTGGGCAGGAGTCCTGGTGGGGGGGGGGGGGGGGGCAGCACCCGTACTCTCCCTGAGCGCTGGACGCCACGGTCCCTCTTGCCTGGGCCAAGGTGGCCCCAGAAGTCCAGGCTGGCCCCTGCGGTGCCCCGCTGCGCTCTGAGCCGCGGACACCGCTCGGCAACGCCCGCCGCTGGGGCGAGCCCGCCCGCCCTGCGCCGCCGCGGCCCCCTGCCCGCAGACCCCGCGCCCGGCCGCGGCCCCGCCGTGCAGCGCGCACCTCGCGCAGCGGCCGCCGGTACCACTGCTGCTGAAAGCCCAGGCGCCGGCCGTCGGAGAGGTCGGCGCGGAAGCTCCAGAGCCCGTCCAGGTCCTTGCGCTCGCGCGACGGGCTCTCGCGCGGGTATAGCATCCCGCCCCGCAGCGCCAGCGCGCAGCCCCAGAGCAGCGGGCCCAGCGCCCAAGCGCCCGCCACCCTCCGGCCCATGGCTCCGCGGCGCCCGCCGTCTGCCAGACCAGGGCGTCACGTGGCCCCGCGAGGCCGCCCGCGCGTGCGGGTCCGGGGCGCGCGCCCGGGGCGGAGGCAGCTCCCCGGCGCCCCCCGCGGAAGGCTGGGTGCCTGCAAGGACGCTGCCCAATCCCAGGCTTGTGTCTGCGAGGTCACCGCCCTCCTCGGAGCAGGGACCCTAGGCAAGGTCACTGCCCAACTCCTGGGCCGGGACCCAACGCGGGGTCCTGGCCCAACCTGGGGCCGAATCCAGCAGGCGGGAGATCATTGCCGCCCCCCCGGGGCCTGGACCCAGCCGGCCCAATTGCACAAGGTTTCCGTGTGTTTGTTCTGACTTCAGGTCACCACAGCAGCCTTCTGATGCTGGACTTTGATGCTGAAAGTGCAGTTCCCAGGAGAGTGAAAATGTAGAAGCCGACAAAGGATGAACAGTCCCCGAATGCTTGCAATGTGAAATAAGCGGAATATGAGGCAAAATAAATACAGTTTTCTGGGGATAAACCCAGGGCGTCTGGCATGCCAAGCAAGTGTTCAACCACTAAGCCGAAATAGGGTAGAAGAAACAGGACAGGTAGAAAGAACCCAAAGGGAAGGAAAGAGGGACTGTGGCTTTCAATCCAAAAACCCGTGAACTCCCCAACCTTCACCTCCAGGCCTGTCTTTTTCCAGGCCTGAGTTCTTACAGAGTGCTGTCAGTCCAATTAATAGGTACTTACTTACTAAATTTGTTTTCAGAATGTTCTTTTATTTATGTGTTGGATATGGAAAATGACAAAATCCAACCAATATGGCCCAGGGACAGGGAATGAGACAGAAGGCAATACATTGATTCTTTCCTAGTACAATCTTCCCCAGTGACAAGACAGGTCCCCAGGAGGAGATATCCATCGAGTCTGAAATGACAGTCTCTGGGAAGAGGCCAAAGCATTGATCCTTCCCTAGACAAATCCTTTCCCAGATACCGACCACTGACCCCAGACCCTCCATCTGGCTCAGTAAAGATAAATCCCAGATACTGAAGCAGGACTCCAAGATGGCAGAGGCAGGGTACAAGCTGGAGGTGAGTCATGTCCCTGTTTACAAGTCCTATGGCTGTGACACTTCCTGCCACAGGTTGGGTATTCAGAAACCGACACTTGTAATCAGGCATCACAAGGTAACCAGTGGGAGCAGATGGGATAAGGTCTTCAATTCTGTCCTCACAGGGAAAAGAGCATATAAGACCAGGGTTTCTGGACCTGGGGCCATGAGCCCCTGTGGGCCGCTGTACCTGCCTTATGGAGTGCTACTTCCGCCTTCCCCTCCATGAAGTGTACTTGGCTTATTCCTTCTGTGTGTCTTGCTCAATTCTTTTTTCACATCCCCAAGAACCTGGACCCCAAGTGGACACCCAGACATAACAACGCCACTCCACTCGTCTCTCCAATGGCCTTCCCATGCCCTCTGTGAAATTTCCCCAGATCAGTGAGCCTATTTTGCAATTCTGTGATTCTTAAAATTCAAATCCATGAATGGGGTTGTGGCTCAGTGGTAGAGTGCTCACCTGGCACATGCAAGGCCCTGGGTTCCATCCTCAGCACCACATAAAAATGAATAAACAAAATAAAACTATTGTGTACAACTAAAAAATAAACATTTTTTAAAAATTCAAATCCATTCTTTCTTTCTCCATTTTTCATTTTTATTTTTTAAATTTTTTTAGTTGTTGAAAGACCTTTGTTTTATTTATTTATTTTTATGTGGTGCTGAGAATCAAACCCAGTGCCTCACACATGCCAGGCAAGTGTGCTACTGTAGAGCCACAGCCACAGCCTAAATTTTTTTTTTATTGGTTCCTCTACCCACTTTTAAAATTGAATTATAATTGCTAACCAGGCTAGTGCTGTTCACCAAGTATTTACTTTCTTCCCATTTAGGCCCAAGGTAGTATTGCATGCTTTCGCTTTTTGATATCAGGGTGGCCGTATGACCATTTTGACCAATGATACGTAAATAGCAGAAAGTCCTAAGAGGAGCCCTGGCTCTGGCATCCCTTTCTCCTGTCTGGTGATCCTGGAAGCACCTGTTGAAACCCAGCCTCCCAGGGCTGGGGATGTGGCTCAAGCGGTAGCGCGCTCGCCTGGCATGCTTGCGGCCCAGGTTCGATCCTCAGCACCACATACAAACAAAGATGTTGTGTCCGCCAAAAACTAAAATATAAATATTGAAATTCTAAAAAAAAAAAAAAGAAAGAAAGAAAGAAAAAAGAAACCCAGCCTCCCTGGGGTCCCTTCCAGCCAGCGCACTGAACCCGCAGTAGAGAGGAGGGAGTTGTAACCCAGCACACCAGACCCCTGCCGCAGCCTCACTAGGAGGTTACTGTTGTTACTCCCACTCTCCAAGCATGCTAACCCAGACCCAGGTGGCCTGTAAATTGGCTGACACCACAGAGCTGGTGAGGAGCTCAAAATCCATGGTGCCCCTCCAACATTCTCAGACCCGTGTTTGCAAAGGGAACCAACAGAGTTGTGGGCTTTAACTCACAATCATACGTGCATAGGGGAAAGGAACTGCCAATTTTCATCCTCTGGGTGGACAGTGGTTTTTTGTTTGTTTGTTTTACTTATTATTATTATTATTTTCATACAAGGGATTGAACGTAGGGAAGCTCTATGTTGTGTTACACCCTCAACCCTTTTTAATTTTTTTTTTTAAACAGGGCTCACCAAATTGGGGCAGCTCTTCTCAAACTTGAAATCCTCCTGCTTCAGCTTCCCAAATTGCTGTGTTTGCCGTAGGCTGGTGCAGGATGATGTCAATTGGTATTTTAACATTGATACCTGGACAATAATTATCGAGTACAACAAGCAATTAGAATAACAGAAACTTTAGATATTAAAGGTTATTTTTACAAGATCTAAGAATAACTTCTAAAGTCTGTCTTAAAAGATCTTCTCCTCTTTGTAGAAATACTCCCAAGGGCTTTTTATTGTTTAAGATAAATTTGATGGAGGTCTAGTTTACATATGTAAAATGCACTCATCCTAAGGTACCAAGGGGACTTGGTAAATGTGCACACCTGAGCACCCACCGTCCACTCCAGGCTCACAGTCCAGTTCTCTCCTGGCACTTCCCAGTCCATTTGCCTCCCACTGTTGACCTGGGCAACCACTGACTCCTTCTTATCACTGTTGATTCCGCTCTTCTGGAGCCTTACATGATAAATCCTGGGTGTCTAGCTCTTTCATGCAGCACACATTTTAGATCCACTGCAAAATGGTATGTGTCAGTCTCCTATTTCCACAGATCCCAGAAGGAGACTCCATTCTGGACAGGACATTCATGAATGCTTCAATTCCACAACTTAGCCTGCCTGGGGAGGCAGGAGGCTGGAAAGTTCAAGGCCAGCCTCAGCAACCTAGCAAGGCCCTGTCGCAAAATTTAAAGATAAATAAAAAGACTTGCAGGTTTATGAATACAGAAGGGAGAACACTGGGCCGGACTGGGGAGGTCGGGCCCCTGGCAGCCAAAACCCCAGGGCCATGAGCCCGCAGCGGGCTGAATTGCTCCTCAGGCAGCAGCAGGGAGGAGCACCAGCTGCAGCCCATACGGGGATCCCTGGCCCTGCAGGGTGGGTACATTGGTCTTTGCCGGTCTAGGCCTGAGGCTCTCGGGTCCACTGTGGTACTGGCCAGTGGCTCAGGGGTGGAGCATTCTTGCGAAAGTCCGCACTTTGCTCAGATGAGATTTTGAGCCCATCATACTGCTCCCCTTGGCAGCCACTGGAAAGGAGATGTGTCCTCTCTGTCTTCCTGAAATTCCTGCCCTGAAGCGCCTGCGACAAGACTGGACTCCTCCTGTCGGCCTGCCCTGCAGCTGTCCTCAGGGAGCTAAGAGCAAGACTAGAGTCCTGGCGGCTCTGCCTCCATTTTGCATCCGGCTCTTGGGCTCTGGGTCCCCTTGGATTCCAGAGAGCCCCCCAACTTGGGCAGCAGCAGCAGCTTCTAGTCCTGGACAGGCTCTGCCTGGGTGCTCAGATGGGATTAGATCTGTGGTGGGCAGCAGTGAGAGTCCTCCAGCTGAGCAAACCCCACCCTAGCCCCATCCCCTCTCTAAAACCTCAGAGTCCCCCCAACCCCCCTGGTCTTCAGTCAGGGCAACGGCACTGACTGAAGTTCCTTTAGGCTTCACCAGGACCCTCTGTTTGGTTTTGGGGGTGATGGTCAGACCTGATTTGTTGGGTCCCCTGGCCAGGCCTCTGGCCTAGGACTCCGGTAATACTCACTGTCTGATTTTTGCTAGCAGCTAGACAACTGAACACAGGGCTGAGGAGCTCCAGACCTACCCCCAGGTAGGAGAAAGGCAAAGGGAATTTTAAGGATGAGGGTACGAGGATAAGGCTCTTACCTGACTTGGGGTGCGTGACTTAGCAACTGCTAAGTCACCTTCCTGATGCACAGCGCCTTCAGGTTGACCTGTCTGGGCATGTTTCTGAGGTCCTGCTAATATCCAGTCCCCCACACCCGCTTCCTGCCACAGAAGCCAGGCATGACCATATCAGGCTTTATCCAGATCTCTGCATGTGGCTTCACGGGGCTGTAGATCACCCTGTTCACCACAGAGAAAGTTCCATTGTGTGAGTGTAGCACAATTTATTTCACCCTTTCCCTGCTGACCTTTTAGGTTGTCTGCAGTTGGCACTTGTGTGATCAAAGCTGAGATGTACATTCCTGTCCAGCTCATGAGTGAGATTTCTCCAGCGATGTCCTTGGAATGGAGCTAGGGTCCCAGGGGTGCATGCCCCTTCACTGCCGTTGCTGAGAGCACTCTCAGTTAGCCTTTCATTGCTGTGACCAAAATATTTGGCAAGAACAACTTAGAGGAGGAAAGATTTATTTTGGCTCACGGTTTCAGAGGTTCAGTCCATGGTTGGTGGACTCCCCTGCAGAACATGGCAGAGGACATGGTGGGGCAGGCTGCTTGCTCAGGAAGGCCAGGCAGCAGAGAGAG